TGCGTATCTGTCTCATCGAGCAACAAGGAGACAGCGGGGTGGTTCTGTGGAGAGCGCATTAATTAATGCGGGTAGAAGAAAAGTCTTGTGCAAGGTCAGGAAAGGACGTGGGCGAAAAATGGAGTCGTGGAATATTGCTCTCCAAGATGCTCTGCGGGTTGAGTTTGAGAGACTGTCGAATGTGGGAATGAAGTTTTCGTCTCGGTTGATAGTCGTGGTGGCCCGAGATCGGATCCGTGTCCTTCAGTCGGAAGGCAAGCTGCCGAATGTCAACGGAGGGGGCGTGCAACTTTCTACGCTTATTAATTCAGGGTGGGTGCAGCGATTCATGGAACGTCATAATATTGTGTCGAGGAGACAACGTGGCAAGCTCATGATCAGCCCGGCAAAGCAAGTGTTTATCGAGAAGCAGGTCGCTTTTCATCTGGGGTGTGTGAAGCGTGAATTTGAGAGTGGTATGCTCAATAAGGATTTGGTGGACAATATCGACGAGACGCACTTTATTATCAACCTCGACGACGGTAAAACATTTGGCCTTTGTGGAGCTCAAGAAATGAAGTATGCAGATGTTACGTCTGGGGGACAGGGCATGACTATGCTAGTGAGACTTACCGGTGGACGAAATGCTCAAATCATGCCAGCCTTTTTGATATTTCAGAATGCTAATCGCAGTTATCCTATCCGAGGCATTGCTGATGATGTACTGCGGGCTTGTTACAGGACACAGCCCAAAGGATGGATGGATAGGGATGTGTTCTTACAGTGGCTACAAGAAGCCAGGGCGATATCGCGAAATCCTTTTGGCAGGACAAGGACTATTTTTTTAGATAATTGTGCGGGACATAGGGAAACGGTAGAGCAGAATTTAGCTTTGGAGGCTTTGAAGTGCTCTCTGAGATTTTTACCTGCAAATTCTACGGATCTTTGTCAGCCGTGTGACAGTTTTGTGATACAGAAGCTCAAGGACGGGTGCGTCTCTCTATGGGATGCCGAGAAGGCAGAGTTATTGCACAGCCCTGAGTAGTTGCAAGGGAAAGGCGCTGGCAGGTTGCCCAATCCAGGAAAAGGTACTTCCTACAGTTGGCAGCGAGGGTAGTGCGTGACGTTAACCAAATGCGCGACGAGAATGGTGTTGGGTACGCTCGCAAGGCCATGATTCGTTGTGGTCTTTCACTGGACCTGAATGCCCAATGGAGGGTCGAGCAACTGTTTCCTCATTTACAGGAAATAATCAAGCGTCATACTGAGCACTTCGAATGCGCCCCAGTGGAGGGATTGGTTGTGGGTGCAGCATAGTATACGTTCTTGTTGTCGGTGAAATGGGGGAGGCGGTTCTGGGGAGCGTGCTGTTCCGTGGTGTGTGTTCCTTTCCCCCCTTTTTCCCCGCAGCGCCCGTCACCCTCTCTCTTTTATTTCTATGAAATTCCTTCCAGAAGCGTCCACGCGTCTGGCCCGGATTCCGCCGGGCCGTACGCGTGCGCTTCTCTAAGATTCAAATAAAATCTCGGTCTACAGAATAAAATCTCCCTCTACAGTAAAATGGAATTTTTCCCTAAAAATATCTCACAGTTCTACAGTTCAAGAGCCTTGCTACATTTTCTATTAGATTTTAATGAAAAATAAAGGTTACATCAATTGCAGTCTGTTCCTTTATAGTGAAGCCAACACTATTTGTTTTTTGGGTGGAATTTGACGCAGTCAGAATACTGTAGTCTGCACTAATTCAGATGCTTCACTATTTCAGCACCAACACTAATTTCCCTATTCGGTGTAGCTTCCACACGTGTTCTGTCTGTCAACGTATCTCAAATCGCCCACGTGTGTCCGTTGTGCTCACACACAGGTGTTGCCGACTGAGGGCCAGTCCTAACAAAGGACTTTCCTCTCGTTTTTCCTTTCCCTCGCCCCGTTTTTATTGAGTTCTTCACTAAAATCGGAAGCACATTGCTGTAGTTTTTACTGTAATGCCATCCCATAGTTCCACTCCTCGGAAATGGAACAGAGTCTGGACGGTCTGCAGATCTATGCAGCATGGAAGGTACAGCAACGCCTCCTCGCGCATGCACATGGCCCAGTCTGACTCCCTGTAGCTCGACAAAAGCAAAGCTGGACGACGTGTTGCTATAATGAGGTCCCTCGATGTGCATGACTAAAACTGGGCTGGATTGAGATATGAAACGAAAGATATGGAAGGGATGGAGGGTGCGGGGAGAGACTGTGTCGGTGTCGATGTTAGGAGGATGACGCGGTGGCGGGGACAATAGCATGTCGGAGGATGTGTGTTGGTCACGGTACTGAGGAGGTGAGGAAGATGGTGATGGGGCGTGGTGGTCGGGCGCGAGGTAGGGGTGGCGGGGAGGAGGGGACGTGGTCTTATTTGGGGGGGAAGGGGGGTTGGTGGCGCGGGGGAGGGAGCGAGGGCGGGGTGGTTCACTGGAAAGGGATTTCGGCGAAGCCACTTCATCATCGATCATGAACTAGAGAGCAGCCTCCCCGGCTTCTCTCCATTTCATGATCGATGCCAAGGAGGCATTTGATTTCAAAAAGCTGAACTCTGGGTGCTGAACTCTGGGTACCCTTCTGCCGTCCGGTGGTGCTCCGTTTCTTAAACAGAGTGTAAAATGCTACAGTAGCAAACGACTGTCGCAAATTTCACGTGGGCGTCGAGGCGGGGGAGGGCCGAGTTGTGCACATAAAATGGCGGGAGAAGGTACTGTGTCTGGTTTGTAATGTTGAGAGAACTAATGTTTTGATCTGCATGTGCTCGTATTTGGATTTAATTCCACCCTTTCATTGTACTGCAAGTGCCACTGCACCGCATCGAGTCCATGGAATTTTAGTAGTGTGCATATGGACTGGGTGTGGATTGGTACTTCCTTTAGCCAATGGATTTCGACCAGTTCGCAGAATTACCAAGCATTACAGTGGTTCTGCGTAACATTCGTTGTGGCGTGCGATTAATTTAATGAAATGATCCGGCCAATAGCGTGACCGCAACTGGTTGAAGGAAAACAAAAGAAAAGAAAAGCGCCTGTTAGGACTGGCCCTGACAATCACATGCGTTTCTCTACAAAATGACCTCATATGAGGGCACTTTTCAACTTATTTTTCTCGACTTGTGCTAGCTCAACAAGATGGAAAAAAGATACTCTCGACACGGCAGTTGACTTCTGCGTTGTGGAAGGGTGGAGTTTGGTGAGATCTGCACGTCTTCTCCAGCCATTTTTAAAATGCCCAAAAAGGAGCCTTTTTTGACCAACCTCAAAACGTTTTATGTTGATATCTTCGAAACCAAAACGCGTGTTTAAAAAGTCAACTCATTATTGATACTTCATTAGATTCTTAGTCTCTCTGTGCATTGACAACCGCCATCCCAATGTTTTGCAAGATGTTATTGCCGAGCGCGTATACGTTAAAGAAATGGTGTCCAAACTGAATGTTTTAAAGTTTCGATTTAATTTATATATTTTTGCAAAAAAAAGCTGGCCTCATATGAGGCCATGACTGACGTCATATGAGGTCAAATTGCTTGTCGTCTAGACACTAGAGCCTCCCTTTATAAGATAGACAGGCATTGGGCTTGAGTAAACAGAAGTAAAGATCTCGCATCACGGATCCCTGACCTCCCTTTAAAGGGTAGACAGGCATTAGGCATCAGTAAATAGAGGCATCGATCTTGCATCACAAGGCGCAGATATTCGTGAGATGGCAAGTGGTTCTCAAGTAATGCTAAATATGTCCAAATAGAAGAAATAAATCAAGTTTCCTGAAATAAGACCAACATTTCAATCCAGCGCATGATGACGGACAGTATAGTTCGATACAAGCATACAACACACCTTGAGAATGATCAAGGAGCTGTGCGGGCGACGATCGCTTCGGCGTGCAATAGACTTAGAACATGAGGCAATATCTGGCCACCACGCTCTGGCTCAATTACACGAAAGCACAGCGGGCAAGCAAACACCTCAAACCAAAGGCGCATTATAGAACTGGCATCATCCACATAAGCGGAACAGCTGGCAATAGTATCAGAGAGGCTGCACCCCAGCATTTCATGCCAAGGACCATTCCAGCTTTCCACTCTCCTCTCCTATATTGTTGTGCGTGATCCATTACTTGTGGTGGTTCTTCACTGACAGCCCGGGATGTGCGTACTGTGCGTAACTGTGTACAGTTGAGGGGAATCGGGAAACTAGTTAGTTCCGGGGCGAAATCTGTGTGGAACAGGGGAGTTACAACGAGCATGGGAGGGTTGGGAGATGACAAATGTGCGACATCTTCTGCATAACGAAAAAAAATATTGTGGAGGAATCGGGAACTTGCTCTGGTATTGTGATCCAGTACGTTGCAACACGCGGCGAGGTGATTTGAATTTCATTCTTGGAGCTGTCTGAAGAAACGCGGGCCGGTCCAAAATGACATGGGGGCACTTGCACCTCTCCACTGGGGCACTGCACCAGTGTATTGTCGCTGACGTGGAGCCGCTTCATTTGCCGCCTTCGCGGTATGCAACAGGACTTTCCATACGTTTTAGTGGCTACGAAAGAGTCTGGATGGACTGCGCATTGAGACAGCAGAGAGAGATGACCAACTTGACTCGAACACAAGAGTACATGCAGATCTGGTGGAAAGCCGTCGACGATAAGGCGAAGACGAACTGTGTTTTGGGCGAGGCGGTGTCTGGTCGAAAGTCTAAATGGGTGTAGATATGTATCAGCTTGACGTGGCGACACATCTGGACGAGCAGGGGGTCGGTGAGAGTTGGATAGACCGACGATGGTTGAGAGTGCGTTGTGGGGATGGGAAGGGTTGTGGTATTCAACAGTTACGGTCGATAGCGTTGCAATTCGTGCGTGAGAATGAGCAGAGATAGTAGACAGTAGAATCGCAGCAGCTGAAGAATGGTAATTGTGACGAAAGAGCTACAAGCGATGCTATTCCGAACTCATTTTGTGTTTATCTAAATCTTCATACATGCATTATGACAAGACTTGCGCATGCAACGGCGCCACGGGACTAAGTCTTCGCAGCGTCACTTCTACCACTCCCTCAACGCTCTGGTCGAGTGGCAACTTCAGTGTAAGCTACTTCGAAGTGGACCTATTGACCAAGTCTCCGAGAGCAGAAGCCAACTTCTTACTGCACCCACCCGTCCTGACTACGACATACTTGCATTTCAGAATCCCAACGGCGTCTCGTCTACTGGCGGAAATTCATCCACCGGCGGTACGACGACTGGACTGGCCGACATTTCTGGCGTCACCCCGCTAGGGATGGGAAATGGCGAAAGAGAAGGAAACCCTGGCACAGTCGACGGGACTGAAGGACCACCCGGCATCTCTGATGGTTGTGGCGTCACCTCGCCAGGGATGGGAAATGGCGAAAGAGAAGGAAACCCTGGCACAGTCGACGGGAATGAAGGACCACCCGGCATGTCTGATGGTTGCATACTTTCCATCATCATCATGCTAGGCATTGGTGTCATCATAAACGGGTCTTCTGTGATCGTCGGTGGCATCGGCGCGGTCGTGATGGGACCGGTAGGCCCAATCGGCATCGTCGGCACTGGTGTCATCGTCATGATAATGGGGCCAGGGGCCATGGACCTTCTCGGCATCATTGTCTTCATTGGCTTCATGGGCCTTGGGCGCCGAGTACTGTCCGGCATCCTGCTTTCACAACACTTGATGCCCCGACGCCCAGTTCTCGACTTGCAGAGAGACACTCTGCAGCCAAAGCGACGGGCGCGGCTACAGTTGCGCCGAATGCGGCCGAAGAAGCGCTTGTTCGCAACGCACTTGCACGGACAGGACCTCATGAATGTGCGAGAAGCAGTAGAGGCATGGTCTGCATCCACAGACAGGGAACAGGCTGTGCAAACCAGAAGGGCAATCAAGAAAAAGAGTTTAGACGTCATCGTGGCGAGTTAGAAGATGGAAGATGAGTTAGGAGGGTGCGATGGTGGTCGGGGAGACAGAGAGAGTGGTTCTTGCATGTCATTTATATGCGAATGGGTGATGTATAATTTCCGTCTCTTGTGGGAGCACAGGCTAGCTAGTGTGTGCAAGCTGCATGGGTGTTCCATTGAGCAGATCAGCAGCATTGCGTTCCTTTGCCGACGTTTCTGGTTTCTACAGCTGAGAAGTCCACGTGCTGACGTCATGAAGGACGATTCAATTGGCGCCTTTCGAATGCCGTATGTATGGCAGGCGAGAAACCCATTCCCGTACGTGCAGAGGGGCATGTGGATTCTCTGTAAGCACAGTTAAAATGGTGCTGGACTTGATGGGGATGAAGCGCTCGAGATGCAAGATGTTTCGAAGGACCATTCAGCCATTTGGTCCTGGTGCCAAGTGGTGCTTTGGAAGGTTTGAGGTATAGAAACATGCTTGCAAATGAGATTACGTTCTATACAGAGAGTGCCATTCGTCGTAGCCAACAGTTACGACGAATGGCACTCTCTATATAAGTCAAAATGCACTGGCGTATTGGGTGCTCTGGACTTGTTTATCTATGTGCTCCTCTCTTCTCGAGTGGTGGAATGCGGACAGAAGTAACGTTAAATCTGAGAAGGGAGACTTCTTAGAGAGAAAAGCCGGGGGGTATTTAGGAGGGGTTGGGCCCTCAAGCGATCTGCTCTCCTAAAAATCTAAAGGCGAGCTTTAGATTGAACAGTCGGCCGGAATAGAAGGACAGGGGAATACCACACATCCAATAGACACGTTCAAGCACAGGGATACACATAACACAAATAATTAATTGCGTTGGTGTCGGGGACACGAGTACCAGGGCACCTCCTCTGCCCTCAGGCCGGTTTTCATAACATTGAGACAGAACGTGCAGCTGTAAATGTTGCCGACAGTGCTGATGACCTAGTATTGTTGTCGCGCATGGACCAGAAGTAGAGAGGCGATCTGCGAATTGTATGACGTTTTCGGATGTATTAATTCCTGGGCGATATTGCGAGATTCGTGGAGGGGAGCAGGTGGTGTTGTAATGTTAGTTTCTATCGACCGATATGTTGACGAGTGGGGCATCTCACATCTTCTTACTGGCTGAGCCGTATTGCCTTGACGCCGTGCTTGGCCTGGATCATCTTCATTGCTGCACGAAGGTACAGAACACACCGTGTGTGTCGCTTCATAAACGAAAGACGCCTCCAAAGAATGCGTTTGAAAAGGTCCTCTTCTCTAAACAGCAAGGCCGCTGAATCGCCACTTCTTGCAACCGGTCGGCAAATTGCTTCATATACATGCTGCGTTATCAAGATGTTTACGAAGTTCGTTGTCAAGTGGGAAATCGAGGGTATATTAATGGTCCTTGTTGATATTCCAATGCCGGTGGCTCTCCACGCATGACAAATAATGATTCGCGCCTCTCCGTCCCTCATTCGCGTTGCATAACACTTGTACGGTGCTGACTCATTCCATACGTGTGATGTACGAACCTCATTACCATCAATCTTCATTCAAACTGAGAAACGTGGAGTATTTTACGGATGCCATAGGTTTGGCACTGTTGCCGCGAAAGGCTCGAAGACTGGCAATGGAGTAGGCAGCAGCAGACTTCACTGTTTAGGTAATAAGTAATCAGCTATCCTGCCGTAGCGTCTATCAAAGCACTCCACGGTGGACGCGGAAAGGAATTGTGGTATATTCAGTGCCGGGCAAAACAACTACAGCTGGCGAAGCACAACGAGATTCATGTTTTAGGCGACGTTAGGAAGCTTTACAAAAAGTAGATGTGTTAGCTCAACATGCTTTGCCAACGTGGCACAGGACACATCATTTCGTTGGGCAGCTCCGCCTGCGACCTCAATTCACTCGAAGCTTAACGCACAAAGCCGTACGCTGCAAGCGGCTCCTCCTGGACCGCCTTTCGATGCCTTTTCGGCTGGTGTTGTCTTTGACCACAGAGAAGTGTCCTTTCTGTGATCCCCAAACGCAGGTCATATCAGTACTAGTCTCAAGGGCAAGCACTCCATGATTTCTCTGCAGCAGGTAATTTCGGAGCTCTCCTTTTACCACACAACTCCCAATTTGATTGACGGGTTATGTAAATTTTCAATGCATCGATGGACTCTGAGCGCATCCAACACATAAGCGTCTTCATAGAAACGTGTCGCGAAAGAGTCCGTTTATAATTACTGTATACCTTTCGTCGATGTTAATCGCTGCGTGGCGCAAGAGTCTCGCCCCTGGCCGAGACGAGACTTGCTTCGTAGCGGTTTTCTAGGCGTAGTAATATTCGCGATAAATGGCGTCAGGGAGCGCGCATAGAAGCCTTGTATACTTTTCCTTACGAATAGAAAGCGGGAGATTGGGAAAATGGGATGATGCTATGCAGTTGCGCTCTCCAAGAATATGGTATCCATGTCATTGTGGTTTTACCAGAAGGGCAAAGTGAGGTGTAGCTGTAGTCCAGTGGAACTGCGATGCAGTAAAGTACACTTACGTACAGTGTAGTGAAGGATAGCGTAGCAACTGCGAGGAAGGGGTTCACATTGTGGCTTTGATAGCGCTAATGCATTGTTGTAGGAACACGTGCCTGCCATGATAAACTGTATAACCAAAGTAGTCGTCAGAATACCGCAGTCTGCAGTAACGTGGTGCAACTACATGTCCACACTGAGGCAGTGATACTGTAGCAACGATGCCATGTGCAATTACGGTGCAATAACCACCTCACAAGCTCTGCGCTGTCGATACGATAGACGATATTGCAGCAGTCTCGTAACGGTAGACGTTATCGCAACAGTCTCGATACGATAGACGATATTGCAGCAGTCTCGTAACGGTAGACGTTATCGCAACAGTCTCGTAATAAGCAAGTGCTGTGTTCCAGATACAGTGCAACTGCAACTCAAGATATATGATGAAGGTACTGTTACTCTTGTGAGTAATTTGGTATCGTTTTTTTTGTCTACGTTCGAGCCATTTTGACAGACGATCCGTCGTCTCACATGCAACTCCTCCCGAGAATCATGTTTGAAGCGGCGCGCACGAGAAAATTTTTACGGCAGGAAGGCTACTTAGGTGCAGCTCTTCTCTATTAAAGGCGACGATGTCGAAAGCCCCGTGAAACGGTGTGGATATGCACTACATCAAGAGTCAACCAAGTCTGTGAAGTGCCATATGGCCAGCAACTGGTCCGGTAGACCGTGTTGGGGCCGAAGAAACCTGCCCTCCATCTCTTGTGACGGCACTGCACTGCAAGGCTTTTGTTTCTAGTGAAAGGAAGCTACTGCGTTGCCCCACCGCGGAAGGCGGTCTAGCATGGACTGCGTGTTGGCGCGTGAAGCAATCGCCGCCACGTTTGACAGAGCGTGGATCTATCGCCGCCAGTCTTGATTCTGGATGGACGGAGTGTCGCCATGACCGCTACAGTATGTAAAGGGTGCGTTCGTTCTCGCCATGACAGCTGCTGCATGTAACGGTGCGTTCTCGAGCGAGACTAATTGTTCGCGTTTGCTGCAGGACCGTGCAGGTGCACAGAAAATAGCGACAAGCGAAGAGGGGATAATGCTACATTAACGTTGAAAGCATCTCTCGAGGAAATGGATTGGTGCCATACAACCTCGCATTGTGTCTAGATGACATCTAACCTCACTATGACGTCAATCCTTGAGGGGCTCATTTTTTTTGTGCTCACTCAGTACCGTTGGTGCTTCGTGTCTTCGGAAGTACCGCTCCCGTATTCGGTTCGAAAATATTGTCGAGCAAGTTAACTATTCGGTTCTAAAATGAGTTTCTGCGCTTGCGATTTAATGTATCTTCTTCTGAGAAGAGAGGTTGGCCCTAAACGGGGCAAATCGCTCCTCATCTGCAACTAGGAGGGAGGGTGCAAGGCCAAGATTCAATGTAGTTGCCGTGGCAAAACAGAGGCTGACTCTGCATAGCAAGGTTCCCAAGGCTGTGGTGAAGACGGGTATTTGGCTCACTACTGCTACGGTAGTACCGCGTTGCACGGATGCGATTTATCCATCTACTTGCTTTTTGTCACAGCTTCTCGTACTCTGTGCCAAATTTGCCATCCTTGGTCCTCCCCTCCCACCAGGCCTTTGCCTACCGACCTTTCCCTGCTCATTGGCTACGCGCTGACTTCAGCTTCGGCTGACGCCTCGGGGGCACTGTCTTTGCTCTTGCCCTTATCCTTCTTGCTCTTGTCCTTCTCACTCTTGTCCTTCTTGTCACCATCCTCCTTTTCTCCGACACGCTTCTCCTTCGCCGACTTACTTTTCCCCTTGCACGGTGGGTCCGCGCATTCCTCTGCCTCGCCAGCTTCGACCTCACCCGAAGACTCGGGTACCGCATCTTTACTCTTGCGCTTATCTTTCTGGCGTCCGCGCATCTTCCCCCCCGGACCGGCGGCTTCGACCTCACCTGAAGCCTTGGGCATGGCGTCCTCTCTCTTACGCAGACCCACTTTGCGTCCGCGCTTCTTGCGTCCGCCCATCATCCTCCCCGGCGCGGCGGCTTCGACCTCACCTGAAGCCTCAGGCATGGCGTCCTCTCTCATACGCGGACCCGCTTTGCGTCCGGGCATCATGCGTCCGCGCTTCTTGCGCCCGCCCATCATCTTCCCTGGCTTCATGGCCTCCCCGCACGGCGGGTCCTCGCAATCCTCAGGCGCGCCGGCCGGCATCCCTCCGCCGGGCGTGGAGGCGGAACCATCCTCCGCAGAGGGGCTCATCCCTCCGCCGGGCGCGGATGCGGGACCGTCCTCCCCAAAGGGGCTCATCCCTGCGCCGGGCGCGGATGCGGGACCCTCCTCCCCAAAGGGGCTCATCCCTCCGCCGGGCGCGGATGCGGGACCCTCCTCCCCAAAGGGGCTCATCCCTCCGCCGGGCGCGGATGCGGAACCTTCCTCCGCAGAGGGGCTCTCCCACGGCATGAGGTCGCCTGGGGACGGCATGGGGGCCATCATGCTCATACCGTCGGCATCAGGGGACGGGATCGGGGCCTCCGGTGAGACGACGGCGCCGCACGCGGCGGCGACAAAGAGGGCGAGGAGAAAGGGTGTCTTGAACATTGCGGATGAGAGGGTGAGTAAGTGGGCGACAAAGTTCAAGCGGCGGGGGGCGCGGCGGGGCTTTTATGTACCGTACCGGACGTACTACGAACAAGCGCGGCGGCGGCAGCCGCGGGCGGGGAGCGGCGCGCGCGGGGGGGCGTGTGGGTGGTCGGGCGACAAGACGCGGCGGCAACGTGGAGCGCATGGCGGCGAGGGTGGCGCGGTGCGCGCGCGAAGTGCCGGGGAGGGGATGCGGCGGGGCGGCGGGGGGGTGTCGCGGTGGGCGCGACGCGACGTGTGATCTGCGCTGAGGTGCGTTTCGGCCTGCGAGCGCTGCGCGCCACGCCCGGCGTCTTCCGCGAGCCGGGTCCGCGCGCGCGGCCGGGCGGACAGCCCACGCCCGCTGTGGATGTCAGCAGCACTGAGACGCCAGCGCGTGTGCGGGGCGGGGCGGGGCGGGCGGCGCCCCCGCGGCGCGGGACATGACGGGCGGCGGCAGCGGCGTGCGGGGCGACGGCGCGGCTCGCTGCGTGCCGCGCTGTGCGGGGCGCGGGAAAGCGCGTCTCCACGTAAAGTGGCGGTAGCGATTTGGCGCATACGGGCGGCCGTTGCGCAGGGTGGGGTGTCGCTTGTACGCGCGTGCGGGGCGGCGGAGGGGCTCCGTGTACACGCGGCCGCTTCCACGCCTTCTCCCTGGTTGTAAATAAAGTTTTTTATCATACGCGATATGCACCGTGATTTTAATACAATTCTCAATAAAGTCAATTACAGTGGGGGCAAAAGAAGCCATTGAATTTTTTGAAAAACTCAAAGTACCCGGCTGCGGGCGGGCCGCGCTGCAACCGCGCGGGTCGTCGCCCTTTCCGCCCGTCGCCGTGGCGGCTCGCGCGATGAGCGCCACGTCGCAACCGTGGGCTTCGATGGCGCGTGCGGTTAGGCTTGGGCAGCGGCGCTGCGTGTCTCTAGCTAATGTCTAGACGACAAGTGACGTCATATGCCGCGTAGGCGTAATGTTAACGTCTGTAAAGCAGTACTTTACAGCAGTAGCTCTAGTGTCTCTATTAATCCGGACCATGTTTTAAATATGTTTATAGACCTGAAAAAGGGGCTTCAGAATTAAGTTGCCCCAGGTTAATTGCTGTGATCAGTGTAGTGTCTAGACGACAAGTGACGTCATATGAAGTCACTTTTCGACTTATTTTTCGCGACCTGCGTACCCTGCTAGTACAGTACGGTGTAGCAGGGTAGCACAAGTCGAGAAAACCTGCAGCCTGCTACATGGGTACTGTAGCTCAACAAGATGGAAAACATACTCTCCCCACCGCAGTTGACTTCTGCGTTGCGGAAGTGTACAGCTTGGTGAGATCTGCCACGTCTTTTCCAGCCATTTTTAGAATGCCCAAAAAGGCAGCCTTTTTACCAACCTCAAAACCTTAGATGTTGATATCTTCGAAACCAAAACGCCTGTTTAAAAAGTCAACTCATCACTGAAACTTCCTTACATTCCTACTCTCTCTCTGTATGCTGTCTTAAAGGAGACCCACGCTGTCCATGCTGTCTTAAAGGAGACCCTGTGTGTCCATGCTGTCTTAAAGGAGACCCTGTTGTGGGTCTCCTTTAAGACAGCATGGACAGCCATGTTTGGATGTATATGTTTGCGATTTTCAAAATATTACATGTCCAATAATTTAATGTATTGTGTCAGCGCGCCGTGATCCGTAAATTGGCTCAAAGGGTGCATCATACCGGGCTATCGATAGGGAAGAGGGTAGAAACGACGTGTTTTTGGGTCTTGGTTTGGTTCTGTCGGGAGACGAATCGCATCTCCTTCGATTGCCACCCTCCCGCCTTTTTTCAAGTGTACAGGGGGGTCGCGATAGAGTGCCATCTCTGTTAGTGCCAGCTCCGATATAGTGATACCCTTTTGCGGGTGGCGCGAATTTTGAGCCAAAAACTAAGGGTCTCCAGAGAGGCAGTTGGATGGACGTACTGCCCGAGACCCGCTGCCGCCGCGGAAAGATATTATGCACTTGCTTACTAGTGTGTATTGGACGGACGTTTTTGATCATTTGAGGCGAAAAGAGCCTCATCTGAGGCTTGGAAAATAATAGCATCCTCACGGTTCAGAACATTAGTTACGCCCTGTCGAAGTGTCGAACATGACTGCAGTGCCCTGTTACATGCCTCTTCACTGCAGCTATAATTTCCAGCACGAAGTAAACCACCATCGGTCCAGTCGCCATCAATACATATATTATGCTACTTAGAAGCGTTTTATTGTACAGTATTCCTTAATGCATCAACATTGGTCTTGTGAAAGGATATTCCAAAGTGGTTTGTGGCTACTGAGTGCTTCAGGACTCTTGTTGCCAGTGCATAGATGTGCGCTCCTCGCACCAGTCGCAGATCTGAAGTGGCAGAGGCCATTTGATTGACTGTGAGGATTTTTCCTGTCTGTCAGAGCATTAGAAAGACCCTCCTAAATACCGTGCATTCTAGCTGCCTTCAAGGGACTTGGACATTGTTTGTTACTCTTACTGTTACTGTTTCGCGGTAACTATGGCTTTCAGTTCTCCCTCTTTGCGCCAGAAACGGCGTGGCAAAAGAGCCTCATATGAGGCGAAATCCTCAAATGAGGCGCATTGTCCAATAGACACTAGAATAGAGACTATGGCGGAAAAAGGCAGGGTCGATGATGCCATTGGACATCTGCAAAAGTGTAGGCTGGCATTTATTGCTGCAAAAATGGAGGAAGTCAATGCGACGGCTCGGAAGCTACTAATGACATAAATGCTTGATTAGACTTGAGTCTGTAGTGAAGATGCAAAGTATGAGTGATGGCGTCTTGCGAACGGTCTTTCTGAGCAGTGATGCAAGGAAGTGGCTGCAAAAAAGCCGCAAATCTCATTATCTTACAGTGCCTGGTTCGATATAGTGCCGTTTTCGGCCCACTGACAGAGGGAGGCACTATATCGCGATCCCCGTGTACTGGCATTCAGGGACGTCAATAAAATGATTAAATTGAATTTTAATGTATGCTAAATTGGATCAAGATTGAATTCAATCGCACTTATGCGGTAGGCGACAGCCAATGGTGTGCTCTCGTATGGCACGTTGGTAGTGACAGATTCCATTATTTTAACTTTGTGTGCGCCATCATACTGTTAAGAAAAGTATTAAATGGACCAATCAGGTGCACGCTGACGTCCATACATGTCCAAACATGCCCGTCCATGCTGTCTTAAAGGAGGCCCACAGGGCCTCCTTCAGGGCCTGTATTTGACAACTGCCATCCCAATGTTTCTCAAGATGGTATTGCCAAGGGCATATACGTTAAAGAAATGGTGTCCAAATTGACTTTACAAAGTTTCGATTTAATATTTTTAAAGTATATATTTTTGCAAAAAGAAGCTGCCCTCACGTCAGATCAAATTGCCGGTCGTCTAGACGCTACCCTTGAATCAAGGGCCTTGATAGAAGGACTGGAGAGAAAATAAAAGCGTGGAAGGTGAGGGAAGCGTCGGAAGACGCAGGGAGGACGGAAGCGAGACACCCCACACTTCCCCAGAAAAAAAAAACCTACCACCCTGGTACTCTGTCCATATTCTTACAATTTCAAACTACTCTTGCAAACACACTACGCGCGCGATGATTTTTGAGCTGGCCATAGGGGTCCCACTGTGGAACGTCGTCCGGTTCGTTTCTTTGAGTTTGGTCATGACCACAATGTTATCGAAATTATGGTCTTCAAATGTGGCATATAGAGCAGGTTCTCGAGTATCCTCGGGTTCTCCCGTCCAACTACGACCGAGGCCGTACACTAGGAGTTCTCTGGTGACTGAGGAGGATGGGAACGACTGGCGTTTCAGGCTGGTTATAGCTTTCGTCGCATTTATCCTGCTTTCTGCCGATTTATTGATCGAATTCGGCTCGGATTCGTCTGACGTCGCGTCGGGGAACATGATCGCCACTGGGTACGGAGCTACCGGGAGGTCACAGCCACTGGATGTGAGAAGGAACAGTGACGGAACGTGGGGCCCGGCATTACGCTCTCAACGTCTTGTGAATGCTACGTACCAAGTCTACGAGGTGGACATGGTACCTGATGAAGCATGGGGAATCACTGAGCGGGACATACAAGTCATTAAGAACACCAGAAATGCGGTCGCGGCTGAGGGACGAATCATCACTTCGGCCATTCCGGATCAATGGATGCTAACGGGAAATGGCAGAGAGTTATGGTTCTCAGGCAATGCCGGGGCGGCGTTGGTGAAAGACGACAAGTTGCTGTTCACTAATGGCTTCGAATCATTCGTCCTGCTGGAAACAAGCTGGACAGGGGAGGCGTCAATCGCAGTCACTGAGATAGTGTCCAATCACCTATTTGTCACTAATTTGCGAATTTACAGTGACTACAACAACACTGTAACTGTTAGGATGAACAAGTTACCACAGTTGATGCTCGACTGTGACGGAAACACCGAATATCCAACAAGCTGGCAAGTTGTTTGTGTGGACGTCAGTACTAGGCCAAGTGAGGTTGTAAGGCACGATGGAAACCTGTTGCCGCCCGCCTTGACAACCCTCAAAAGCCAAAGTATCACAATAGACTACGGCAAGAGGGTCGAAATGGAAATACCATGGGCCATATTCGACGAGGTGGACAGCCGCCCGTCTAGTTCTTTTGACCGCAGTATACGCACAGAGACTTTTAACGGGGAGAATGCCACTCTCGTCATGACACAGAGGGCGGGAGTGCTTATGATGCGAGAGGGGCGTCAGGTGACATGTTGCCTTAGTGTGATGGGCGACATCAACAACAAGGGGCTTCCTGCTTGTAGAATGCAGGACGGGCGCAGCGAAAGTGAGGCGGATGCCATGTTCAAAGCGTTGCAGTTAGCCTCTGCGGACTACAACAAGATCTGGCGGATATATCATAGTTGGATAAATGGGGATGAAGAAAGGTCTCGGACTGAGGTGAATTGGGTATCGACGGAGCTACAGACTGAACTGGGTAGCCTGATCTCGGACGTCAAGACCGTGGCAACTATCAATATTTTCTTCATAATCGGGGTCGGTCTAATCCTCGTTACTTTTCTCGTAGGGGCGTCTGTGCATGTGTTTTACAGGTTGAAGCTGGTGAAGGTGGAACCGAGCTGTCGACGCGTCACGCTAGAGACTAGCCGCAGGGTTTTGGCGATGTCAGCAAGTTGCAAATACAATTGCGGCATGGTGCCCGGGGCGCCGCCTCGAACATCACTAGTCCGGAGCGGTGACAAGACATGTCACTTGGACACGTCATATTCTTTGCAGGACGACTCGATAAGTGCAACCGAGGCTGCAAAGGAAGGGCTAGTGCTGGTGGGACGCAGGGTGCGAGCACGCGACGGAGAAGAAGCACAGTCGGAGGGTTCGCTGCCTCATTGCTGTGCGGTCGGGCGTGTGGCTGCGGCATACCGCTCTCGGGGCAGGGGAAGGCGGAACGACGAGCACAGGATTGCGTGGGTGAAGAGCCCAGGTCGATCCAAGACGCTGCTGGCGTTGGTGAGGAAGGATGGGCGGATGCGTCCTTTGGAAGACTGTGAGGGCGGTAGGGATGATATCAATTGATAGCAAGAATGAATCAATCTTGATCGGGTGACGGAGGACTTGAATCAGGGCTGAATCGGCATGGAAACGGTGCATGAATGCGCACAATGCGACCAGATGCAATAACAATACTAGTACTCGGGGCGGGCCGTTCCACGCTGACGCGTTCCAGGAAGAGGCGGAGATAGTGATTTTCCCTTAGTTAAAAAGGGCTATTAGCCCTTTTTAATTAAGGATTTTCCCCTTATTGCGTGCTAAAGGGGTCCGGGTCGGTGCAGACGTGCTCAGGCTTGCAGCAGACGTGAGCCTCGCGATGCGTGTCAGGTTTTGGTCAGCGGTCGGCGCGCTGACGCATGGTGAACTGAAACTGAAACTGAAATGCATCAGTGGCTTGCATGAGAGATAGGGAGGACGGAAGCGAGACAGCGAGACACCCCACGCTTGCCCAGACAGAGAAAAACCAACCAACCACTCCCGTTTACCAGACAACAGGGAGTGTGCAGCAGCTCTACAGTAGTGTCTCGAGTTTGACGAAAAGTGACGTCATATGAGGCCACTTTTCAAGTTGAAATTTCTTGCCTTGTGCCCGCTGAACAATAAGAAACAAGATACTCTGGGGGCCGCTGTTGAGTCGGGATTATTTTTCACTACCCTTGGTAGACTAAGGTACAGTACCAAGGGTACCCTTCGGAGGGTAGTTGCAGCTGAGTTGTGCGTGGCAGAAGGGTGGAGGTTTGGTGAGATGTGGACGTCTTTTGCAGACATTTTAATTAAGAATATATAAGAAAGAAAGAAAAAAATCGATATGTGTGGGGATATCGTCGAAAGCAAAAGGCCTTCTATTCGATTTTACCCCTCCGGTCTTGGCACAAGTCTGCCTCGTGCGGACACTCCCTTATGAGGAGAACCGTTGGCGCTGTCATGCGTGTGCCACGTGTGTGCGCAACTGAGTCTGGAGGGCCATGCGCACACGCTTGACGCCTGCGCATTTCACTGTCAGCACTCCTGACAGTGGCACAGAGGCGCTGCTGCGCCCCTGTGCCCAGCGAGGGCCAACAACTCAATTTCACACGTGTTCACCACCTGCTCCCCCGTCCTCGTTCGTCCCGCTCGTCCCCACCCTCGTTGTAAATAAAGAAGTTTATTGGGAATTGTATTAAAATCACGGTGCATATCGCGTATGATAAAAAACTATATTTACAACCAGGGAGAACCCGTACCGGCGGCACGGGCCATCCGTCTGCGCCTCGGCGACGGCGAGCGCCGCATGCAGACGCGGGGGCAGCTGGTCACGCTGGCGTGTGTGAGGCTTGTCTTTATTTTTTGCCCAATCAAGGGGGCGGCATGCGTGGCATATATATATATAGATTTTTTTTAACTATTTTTTTGGGCCGCGAGCGGACACGGGTGCAGGTGTGCACGGTGGGGGGGGGGGTAATTTTATCAATGCATCAGGGGTGCGCTTACAGATACACTAGCAGATAGGAAGCTGAGTTACACTTCGATCGGATATGAGATGTCCGCGACGTGTGTCGGTAGGCGAGAAAGGATCGCAGCAGCGACAGTGGACCAGATGGCGAAGCTCAGGCGTTGGTGGATGCGGGCTTGAGCGGAGGCAATGGTGCAAGAGCTCCGAAGTGCTATTAGCTTCGCGTGTTCATGGATGACATGCATTGTAGACTGTGAGGGGGCGCCTAGAGCGTCAAACGATAGTGGCTGAAAGTGCCAGTCTAGGGGTGGCGGAGGAAGGTGATCGTCAATGAGCAGGGTGGATCGAATAGTCCGCTCGAGGGCCTGACGCTTGCGAACGTCAGCTGTTTCCGCAGCTCCTGCAGATTGGCGGGCAGCGGGATACATCATGCCCCTGCGGAATGGACTGCAGATTGTGACGTCGTAGGCCGTAGGTTTGTCACAAGGGAGCCCTGGAGCAGGGGGGGACGGTTGAACGAGGATATCGGCCGGTCGTGCAGCAGAGTTTGACAGGAAAGGGACGTCGAGGGAATATGCAAGTCCAGCCCCACGGAACACGTGTCGTGCGAAGACATTTCGGACGGTATTGTGTCTGTGGACCAGTCCGAAGCCATGGCGACAGATGGTCGCGTGATCCCCTCGAGGGTCGAGTGGCTTGGAACAATGTGCGCAGCGCAACGGCGAGATAGAATCGAATGTGATAGGAGCGTCCAGATGACGACGTAGCATGGTTGACCAGGTGGCGTTCTGAATGCGGGAGGTGGCAGCTGGGTGGGCAGTGAGGAAAGATGTCGCGCCAGGAGCGAGGAGGGAGCGAAACCGTACCCTCTGACGAATTGAAGCTGCACTGTGCTGACGAGGGTCGGGAGAGGATTGCCAAAGGGGTTTCTCCCAGAACCGGCTGGCCGCTGCGCTATGCTGCGCCTGAAGTAAAAAGGTATGTATGCGTTCAGGACGCGCTAGAAGTGCGGTAGGTTCGAGGCAGCCAAGATCCGAAGATGTAAGGGAGAAGTGAGGTGGTTGTACGGAAGGAGGTAAATTGCCGAGAACCACCCTCAATGATGTTCGTGCAAAGCTCTGGTATTGCCTGAGGTTGGGAAACTGGGGCCCCTTTAGTCGTACCGGGGCGGAGTCGATGAGACTTGCAGCGTAAGAGGCGTGTGAAGTATTGGCCAATGATGTGAGGCCATGTCCCCCATGAACGAACGGCAATCGGACTTGAGCAGCCAGGCTCGGTGAAAGAGTAACACTATTGAAGCGCTCGTATGCCTTCAGCTGATCTCTATCAAATTGCTGTGCGAACGAAAGGGCGAAGGTCGGGGGTACCAGCCGGAACAGATGCTGCATGCGACAGGCGGAAGCGGAGACCCTGTGTAAGTGAAAGCGTACGCGGGCCTCTGGGATGTGGTCCAGGTGGGCGAGGGCGGAATTGCAGTTTTGCAGTTTGCGGGTGATGTACTGCGTCATGAACGAGTCAGACCCAATAGGGGCCCCGAGGAGTTCCAACCCGCCGTCTTCGATGACGTGCAAAGGGGCAACAGTGGTGAGGGGAAGCAGGAGGTCTGGGGAGAGGCTGGGCCAAAAGACACGTGTCTTAGCTGGGTTGAGGAAGAACTGGTGGGTTGGTCCCTCTGTATTAAGGATTTTAAGAGCTCTGGCAACTTCATCGATACGGCCGATGATGGTACCGTCATCTGCATACCAGCGGTTCATAAGAACGTCACATTCGTGCGAGATGCGGCGGGCGAGAGGCTGAAGAGCGAGAGAGAAGAGGAGCATGCTCGCAGGGTCTCCCTGTTGCGACCCTTCTCGACTGACTAGCATGGTGGGCGGGGACGAGGGCAGAATCAGGGGGGAGGTGATGCGCGCATAAACCATGTCAAGAAAGCGGGACAGGGAGTGTGCTCTGGTTGGGAGCTGGTCCAGCACTTTCTGGCGGGAGAAACGGTTGAAGGCACTGGAGGCGTCAATTGACACCATCACGTAGTGTGGGTCCCTTCCATGCCGACGAAGTAGCATCCGGGCGTCGTGTACGATAGCGTCCATGCCGTTCGGAACACCATTGGCTAATTGTTCAGGAGCGAAGTGGTCACGGCAATCCTCTATTGCGGCTGGGAGGAGGACTTTCGTGACGAGTCGACGGATGCTTTGTCCAATTGCAATTGGGCGAATTTTGGCCGGGCATGGCTGTAGGGGCAGCAGAGTTGCGGCCCTGACAAGGGGGATGGTGCAAGGCGGAAGGGAACCACGGGCCAGGCGGCTGACGAGATTTGTGAGCGCGGAGATGCCGGTCACTCCTGCTTCGGGACTAATTTGTGAGTGGGCAAGGAGGTGCAGGAGCTTGGGCGACATGCAGTCTGGACCGGCGGCTGAGTTGGGATTGAGGCGCCTGACGGCACGGAGAACGGATTGCTCCGAGACCTCTGGCGGCCGTGGTTGTGCGGAGGGCGGCAGAGGCATGACGGGGACAGGAGGGTCGGGGTGAAGGGCTTGCAGTGCTGCAACCGTGGCCGTATCGTTGAGGTTGGCGAGAGGAGGGTTGGTGAACGTGCGCATCGCCCGCCCGTATTGGGCTTGGGAGGCTAGCCGCATGGCGCGGGCGGCTTGCGCGGCGCGAGAGCTGTGGGGCGAAGGGAGCTTGGAGTGTGTGTGCTGCCATGCTCGCCGTGCTTCGTGAGCATGAAGGGCTTCTCGCCACAAGGTACTCCATTCGCAACCTGTGCTTGCCCTACGTAGGCGGAGACGGAGGGCGTGCATTTGACCACGCGAGGAACGCCATCTGGGCTCTCCACGGAAAGCTTTTCGGAGCACAACAGTAGGCAGCATGTGAAGGCGCATAAATGCTTGATGAGTGGCGTCGGGGGTGTTAGCTGCTGTGGGAGCGCGCACGAGTCGAATTAGAAGTAGAACCGTGCTATGCAGGCAAGGGCCAGGGATAGAAGTGAAAATGTCCGAGGGCCGAATCGGGGTCGAAAGGAGTTCGTGGACCGACGGCAAGGGGAGGGGTGGGGCGTCCGGGAGGGGGAATGGTCGGTTTTCAGGGGAGGGCGAGAATGCGTCTGTCATGGATGGTGGAAGGGAAGCGCTGTGAGAGGGGGCGGGGGGGTCGGCGGTGGGGCTATCTGAGATCATTGGTCCAGGGGAGAGAGTGCTGCGGCCTCCTGAGAGGGAGAGGCGCGCTTGGGAGGGGGGGACTGAAGCGCTAGTGGACAGAGCTCTTTTGATGCGCGGCGGGGCGTTAAGAGCCGAGACAGGGGGTCAGTGGAGAGGATGAGGTGCATGGTGTGCGCTTTGAGGAGCAGGAGGCGAGTGTTCGGGCGACGGAGCGGCATTGTTGGGCTGGGCGGGGTGGAGGTCACTTTCATTGACCCATGTGGGGAGGGGAGCTACAGTGGCGGTTGGGGTGGTACCCAGGGGCGCCAGGCGGTATAAACTTGGCGGGGGAGTGGTGGCGGGAACGGGGGGCTCGGTGACAGCGGTTGGAGGCGGCGGGGGCTGAGAGGTGACGGCGTCGGCGGGCGAGCGTGTCGTGGCACGGACCTCGGTAGTTT